ATGAATGAATGGTGTGAAATTACACTATTCCTCGGAACTAAGACTTAGCAACTGCAAACTTTGTGAACAAAAGGCCACAAAGCCCATACTTTTCTTGGTTGGAATATCATCAAAGCAGTTCAGAATCTCATCCAGCAAAATAAGATGCCAAATTTGCAAGAAATATAGGACTAGAATGAAAAGTGATGAGGTAAATAGAAAAGTAAAAATTATGGAATCTGTAAACATTTAGGATCTTTTTTTGTATGTATTTTAAATGCACGATAAGTTGATATGTTTAATTATAATGCTGTATACTTGAAGCCTGTATATTACAAAACAGTGTTGCTTCAATAAAAAAAAAAATCATTATATGATTTTCATTCTAGCACAGGAGGTTAACTACAAGCGGTACATTCAAGAAAAGAGCTCAATATATTGTTTCTTCGCACAAAGGCAGAGAAGGCCATATTTTTGAAACTTTGTAATAAAAATTGATTAGTCTTTTTAAAGCATCCATATGAAATATCTTCCTTGATATGCAAAATTCAGATAAGAATTATTTCTGAGAAACCCAGAGAAAGAAGAAACATGGCTGTTTTACACTTACTAATTTGTAAAATTTAGGCATACAGTTTTGATATGAGTTAAATATATATATTAGATAAGATTGGCTAAATGAGCCTTAGGGATTTATAAGATACCAAGTTGTAAAAATTTCCAGATTCATGTGAAATTGAATATTTTTATATGCCAAAATTACTTTTAAATATCTGATTTTAAATCTATCTTTATCTTTTCTTGTTTCTTGTTAATTTGTAAAGTTGTACACAACACTGACAACCACATCGTAACAGACACACCGCTAGGGGGTTCTGTTTCAGTGGTCTTTCAGACCCTCTTCGATTACACCCCAACACCTGGTTATAGTGCACCATCTAGTGGCTGTATGAATTACTAACATCGAGTGTTGTACTACATTTTAGAAATTACTATGCCATATATTTTTAGGAAATCCTGATAATTCTGTACAGGGTTATTTTCTTATTACATTCAAGTTGAAATCACTTAATAAGCAATACAATTCTTGAAAGGAGAGAAATTTAAAATATATAGTTATATATCTATAGGACAAATTTAAATGAAATGAATTTAATTCATTAGCTTAAATGAATTAAAAGCACTTCACACAGCTTCATGCAATTTAGGCTAGGAATTAGGACAATGTACTTCAAGTACGGGATGCTGAGATGTTATTTTTTTCTCTTCTAACATGCCTTAAATGATTTATCACAGGCAAGAGTTGTTTAAAACAGTAAAATTATTATGCTCTAAACTGCACAGTCATTAAAGTGTACATAATTATTTTTAAATAGGGAAGGCACCCTTCAGTGTTTCCATTTTTGCTCAAAACTCCTTGTGAACATTCAGAAAATGCTCCTATTTCACACTTCTAGAAAATGTGTGTCATTTACTGTATAATTCCGAAGTAAACAGATCATGTACTAACACAAGAGATCAAGTGCTAAAGGTAAAATGACATGACCTTCTCAAAGAAAGTTTCTCACTGCTTCTTGCTCACCTCTCATAGCGTGTGTAGTTCTCATAAGTCATCTGTTATAATCCCAAACTCCACATTAGTTATTACTGGTGACACACAAATAACTTACTCAATATGCCTGAGGCAAAGGGAAGGTTAAAAAGATATTTATTCAAAACCAACGCAAGACAACCGGAATCCTTACAGAACTAAGGATTTCATTCCACACACTAAGTTATGAAATATTTGCATATAATTATAAAACAGACTACTAAGGGCTCGCTTTGAATCCATGGCAGCAAGTTAATCAAATTTCGTCTGTTCTTATAAGTACAGCATTTGTGTGGATAGTGTAGGATATGATGCCACGCACAGAACTAAACATCTCTTTGCTAAGCGGAGGAATGGATTTGGCATATTTTGGTTTGTAGCCCAAACCAAAAGAAGTCACGAGGATTTTTTTTTTTTAATGGAGCTGTTAGATCAAGAAATGTTGGACCTGCTGGAATAGGACAATTAAGTGGATTATTAGCTATTGGTTCATGAATTTAGACCCACTTCGGTGGAAATCTCTAGGATTGCATCTTAGGGCTTTTCCTTGAAGTTGTCCTACATTCAGTTCCTGGCAAACATGAAGAAACTGAAGCTGACATATTAACAAGGTGGGTAGGGACACGTTTTGAAGTCATTTTCATTTACTAGAATGTGACCAAATGAATACAATGCATAGAGAATTGTTATTTCTTACATTTAAAAATGTATGTGTGACCCTTCTAACAATGATTCTGTCCTGTATCTGGGATTAGAGATTGTCCAGTCTGTGGCCAACCACTCCCACTGCCACCCAGGGAGCCAGGAAATGGAGCAGGTCCCACTATAAATACAAGGTGCATGTGTATGTTTGAAAGAAATCGGGCACAGATGGATGAGACCCAGTTGTTAGCATTTTAAACTTAAATAACCTAACAGAGACTGCAATACACTTACCATTATTGTTGCTTCTATTAAGAGAAGTCCACTAGTAAGACCTGTTTTCTCCATCTGGGGTGTGAAGACTGTCAGTGACAGAGTGGCAAGTTGGAATATATACAGAAAGGGGTGGCTGAGAGAATTGAGAACGTCTCATTTGGTGAAAGTAAGATGCCAGAGCTCGGAGGAGAAGCAGGGCCAGAAAGTGACAACTGAGAGCCAGACAACACCCTGAGAGGCAGCAGACACTGCAAGGGATGAGGACTCTGCCAGTTAGTCTGGCGGAAGAATGAACGCTGTCACTGGAAGTTTTAGGAGCGAGGGAGAGGCAGTCCTGGAGTCAGGCTGGAACACAGAAGGGATGACGCTGCCACCACCAGTCTTTGTGTGGTCAAGGGAAAGCAAAGAAGTTATTAAAAGCAACACAAGACAACCTGCTCCTGATGGAACTCTTGACTTCATTTTGAACAGGGAGTTACGACACCCTGCGTATAATTTGTAAATGTGCAGGAAACTACAGCATGGTGACTTGTTCCTTGTGCTAGACGACACGAAGGAATTCCCCTAATTAGGAAACAAATTAGATGCAGTGATACAGCAGGTCCACTCGGATGGAAAGAGTATATGATTTCATCTTATTAATAAGCCAAGCTTGTTAATTCTGTCTCAGCATTCGTGGTTTATATTGCTTCGAATTGTAATGCTGACATTGTTTCCCCTATTTTCATAGTGTATGTTAAGATCTCTACTACACAATCCTATAATGCCATGAGTTAAATACTATAATAGTACCTAATTAAACCTTTTCTTTTTTCCTGTTCATCATTTGGATAAATGGAGTAGAGGTGAAAATGAAACAAATGTGCATTTCATGGGAAACAGGAATAACTTAAAAGCTATGATTATTCATTGAAGTGGTCACACTCTTTTTTTTTTTTTTTAAAAGAAATGTTCTCTCCAAGAAGTAATATGATCTAATCATACCCACTACTATGATATTGGTTTTACTACCTACTGATAGGATGGTCATGCTTAGTCAACATGACATGCATTCTTTGCCTTAATGATAAAGAAACTGATTCAAAAGAGTACCTAAGAAATAGATGAAAATCTCTCCTAGGGAGCTCAAAACCAGTGGAGGGAAGAATTTGGAATTAGGCAGAAAAGGGAAAAGGATTCAGAGCAAGGAAAAAATATGAAAGAGACAGTTTGCAGAACGTGCTGAATTATTTTAGAAGTATTATTAGAAGTATTATACACTAGATGAAAAAGTAAATTCCAGATTCTATAATGTTTTCTGACTTTAGGCAAGACTCCTATGCCATCACTTCACTGCAAAATACAATGCCCAGTCTCAGCAGGCAGAGTCATGAGGCGGTCTCTGTATTGCAGCTCTGGAAACTGTCTGATAAAATAACACAACTAAATAAAGGGCAAACTTGTCAGCTGAAAAGATGTTGCTACCTCAGTAGGGAAATAGTTTGTGAAGCATGGCTATTTTATAGAGTAGAGATGGAAGTACTGTTTACATGGCCTCACAGGAGTCTGGACACTTGCAGTTTCCATTCTGAGGCAGGGGCTGGAGTCTGACTCCTGATGAGCAATCACTGGACTGGACTTGCTCCATCTCTGGCTCCCTGCTCCCAGCAACATGTGTGAATGGATGTCCCTGCTTTATCTGCTTCTTTGAGCAGGCACATATCTGTCACTACTGTACCTGCCCACAGGGGCCCTGGGGCATCCAACAGGATTCATATACCAAAGAAGCCAGGGGATGCCGACTTACCACACAGGCAAGGATGAGAAGGTGGAGAAGGGATGGGTGAAGCGTCCCCAGCTTACATGCTGGTGACTGGATGCGTGGATAGACAGGTGGGAGGGTAGGCGGGTGGATGGATGGATGGGTAGGTGGATAGTGACAAAGTCAGTGAATCACCTGTGGTTTGAATTTCCTTCTCTGTCAACTGCAAATACAAAAAATTCTCTCCGAATAAAAAAAAAAACTACCAAATGGAATCAAGTAGAAAGTTTTTTTTTTTTTTTTTTTTTAAATTCCCCACAGTGCTGTGCATATGTCAATTTTATGTTTTTGGTTTACTTGTTTATTGAGGAGACAAGGGAGAGAAGCATGATGCAAGCAGTATTTCAGAGCTAACTTTGACTAGTTTTCTTTGGCTAACTTTGACCAGTTTTCTTTTGCTTGTCGGCTGACGTGCTAAAATCCTCATAAACTAGACAATGAAGTGGCAATAAAAACTAACTCACTATGGCCACCTCATTACAAAACTCCTCTGGACACAGAAGAATTACTTGATGGGTTGCTCAGGTTCACCAAGACTTAAGACTTTTTCTTACTGAGAAGGGGAAAGCTTTCCACCTAGAAAGGAACCCAACTCTGGACGCAAGCATGAAGAGGACAAAGCACCACTCCATGCCCTTGGGCTCCAGTGACAGCAATGGCCCTTGCTGGATTCCCATCAGCCCTTGCGTGAGAAGCTGCGTAGAGGTGTACCTGTATGAGTCCTTCGGTGAGCCTTCAGGTGAGAACTTTTTGTATACACTTTGTTGCAACCCTCAAAATCACATCTGTGGATTCGCCGTTTTCTGGAGTCAGGGGATTCAGACCGTCTCTGGCGTCTTGTGCTCTCAATACTAAATGGTGAAATTGAACTGGAAAAAGAAAAACTGGAGTTAAATGTAAGCAACACAGGACGCTCTTTTGAATCTACTGTCATGGGACCTTCCTCTCATTGCCTATGGCTTGACACAGACTCAGGTCCCTTGTCTACATTTCCTGCTGCCACTATCTTGGACACATTTCATTTCTTAATCTTGAAGGGAGTCAGCTTGACCTATTTCTGCCAAAACACTGTTGGGGAGAACAAGACATATTTTAAAACAATAAGACAAAACTAAAAATTGAATGACAGCAGTGAACAGGTCCCCATTTTCTAGAAAATCAATCTGGTGGTGTTAAATTGGATTTCCAAGTTTTGAATTTCTGATGTACTTATAGGGACAACTTCAAGAAGTCCTGCCTCAGACAAATGACAAAATGAACCTATTAGATAAGTAAAGTGAGAGTCTGAATTGCATATGACAACATATAAAATCGTGTAAGATCACAATGTATATTTCAAAACAAGAGAGATTGGGCTCAAAGAAATCTCATCAGTACATCAATAACATGACTCATGACAGGCTATTTCTGTTCTGTAAAATGCACCTGACATTTAACTTTTCCAGTCGGTGGTTTTTCATGGTGAGGAAGAAAGTACATTGTATTTAGAGATTAGCTGTACTACCATTATGAAAAAAAGTTTTAACCATGAAATTTGGCCCTGACTTGCACATTGTTTAATCTTACTGCCACAGTAGAAAAACAGGATTAGTTTGTAATGTCAGATAATTGATTAGCATGTACTTCTTCAAACCTTAATCTCTTTTGATTGAGACAGAAATGAAAACTATGACACATCATTTTGGTTATTCATGAGAATCTTTAAAATTATGGTGAAATACAATTAAAATCCTCTATATTTCCATCATAAAAAATTTAAGTTATATTTTGAAACGTTTTCTGTCAGCTTTCCCATATTTTGATGCTTTTAAAAAGTATCTTTCATTAATAAATCACTACTTCTTTTTAAGTGAATGTCACATCTCCCCATTCCTCCATCATTATTCTGGTCCCTCTGTCTCCTTTCTGAGACTATGCCCCCCCCCTTTTTTTTTTTTTTTTTTAAAGATTTACTTACTTATGCATACAGAACTGTGGTACAGGCCAGAGGTACAGGCAGTGAGAGGATCCACCAGAGATAGAGTGTGGAGCAGAACAGACAGATGTACTGAAATACACTGCTGAGGGGAGCAGTGTGTGAGACAGGAGAGGTCTGCTATGCCATGTGGGTCAGCTCCCTGGCCGGGAATCAAATTTGTGCTGCAGTGGTTGCAAATAGCTTTACAGTGCTACGCTTTAACCTGTCCTGCCACCAGGGAGGCCCTCTAAGTTTACTTTAAATCTTTCCAATTCTTTTAAATTATGCTTAAATATACATATCTGTGTACAGACTCAGAATATTGTTTTCTATTTTTAAGAGACAGAGACATATAATACCCTGCTGTTCACATCATTATGAAAAGTGTTCTAGACCTGCCTTCTGTTCCTTCAGCATTAAGTACTTGAATTCTGTCTATGATGATACAAACACTGCAGTTCATTTATTTGAAATACTATATACCACAATTTTTCAATTCTAAGATGTACTTTTCTATAACTTAATGTCTCTAAATCAGGATACTTCCTACACTTGATGGCTTGTCATTTTCATTTAACATTTTTTTTCCTTTACTCTTGGTCTATAAAGCCTATAAAACAATGGTTTGTAAGTATACAAAAGGTGGTTGGGCCCTCCCTGGTAGCACAGTGGGTTAAAGCACAGCACTGCAAGCTATGGGTAGCCACCTCAATGCTGGTTCAATCCCTGGCCCCGGAGGTGACCCACATGATGAGGCAGACTTCTCCTGTCTGACCCACTGCTTTCCTCAGCATTGTACTTCATCGATCTGCTGTTCTGCTCCCCACTGTGTCTCTCCTGAATTCTCTCACCCTCTGCACCTCTGATCTGTATCCCAGTTCTGTATGCATAAAAAAATCTTTAAAACAAAATAAAAGGTGGTGTGTTAACTTAGATCAGAGGTTGGTAGACATTTTTTGTAAAGGGCTAGATAGTAAATATTTTATTCTGACTTTGAGAGTCTATGTTGCAACAAAGTAATTATGCAGTTGTACCTTGGAAGTAGCTACAGACTATATCAAAACAGATGAATTATAATAAGTATGGCTATGTTCCAATAAAACTTTATTTACAAAATAAATAGTGGGCAGTATTTGGCCCACTCTTTGACTAAGATGAGATGTGATAGTAGCCCAATGAATATTCATTCCAGAGTTTTAAAATCCATTTTCCTGGCAATGGACACAGAAATCAGTGTTCCACTGAACTTTTTTGGGAAATGTCTTGTTCTACATATGTACCTTTAAAATTTTAGCATTCCTTTTCATTCTGCAAGTAATAAATTGAGCAAGCAAAGCTTTATATTATTAGGTCAGATCAAATATAAATGATATTTATCTATCCATATCTTCAACAGTTTCATATAAGATCTTTATTAAGAGAATGAAAGAACATATGGGATGGCGAATCACTTTCTGCAGTCTTATGAACTAATGTGGATTTGTGGTTTTCCACATAATCGACTCAACAGCAGGCAATGGAATCTATTGTGAAAAAAGTCAAAATAGAGTGACCGGAATGGACCATGAAAGAACAGCTTTAGTCACTGCTGACAATGTATGCCCTGGCATGGAGTGTGATTTTTGAGAATCAGACTGGATGTCTGATTATTGGGCAACAGTAATTCATTTCTTGATCCTAGTCATGAAAATAAATATGGATCTTGGCACTGGGAACCTCAAACATAGAAACTTTTGTTTGACATCTTTTAAATGGAGAACATGATATAGTATTGCTCCCTTATAATTATAGCTTAACACCTACAATAAAAACATTGGTTTTTACACTTTGTATATATCAATATGTTAAGTCTAAACGAATCTGTGCACAATGCACACACGCGTTTGCCTGTTATTGATTTTAGCTATTTAGTTTATTATGTATTTGTATATACAGAGAAAAATGGAAATTAAATTAGAAATCAAAATCAAGTAACTACCTTAAGGGACCAATGAAATAATGAACTAAATGGCAGGTATAGAGACCATAAAAGCTACACAATGGCATGAAATTCTGAGTCTACATCAAAATGAAGACAAGTTTGGTGAATGATGACACATTACAAAATGTCACACCTTCTTCTTTTCATTTTCAAGTGAAGCCTTTAGGACACTATGAAGAACAACTACCCAAAAGCACTTCTACAATAAGAGCATTTTTTTTTTTAATAAAAAGGTAACTGCAAAAGATAGCTCTACTCAGCAAAAGTGCTTTGAAATGGCATTCCATGGATAAATATCTCCTGGCTGCCCCTTTCTGAATTACTTACTTGAACTCTTTAACAACTGGTAGGAATGTAAGTTGGTGCTGAAGTAAAATGGGATCAAAAGACAGGAAGATGAGAGCCCAATCCATTCCCATGGAGGACAGCTAGAAGCTAGACCTGTATCATGTTTTGACAGTGGGCTGGCACAGCAGGCGGATGACAGCCAAGCCAAGTTCATGAACAGAAATGGACTGTCATGGTGCTGGTATCATTCTGTATCTTTATTTATTTAGTCATTTTTATTTCTGTATCTTTAGAAGCTAGAACTTTGTGGGCATTCAAGAACAGTGTGTCAAACAGCATGAATGAATGAGCAAACGAATGACTACAGGAGTGTATTAAGTCAGTATTCTAATTTTTAATTTAATATAAATTATTTAATCCTTCATTGCTTAATCAGTCCTTACAACAGTCTCTTGACTATAAGTCTTCACTTAATTCTTCATTCTTATTCTCATTTTCCTAAAGTCTCCATTTTACATACAACACAAAGTAACTCCATTTTATGTATGGTTCAAAGTGACTACTGAACATTATGGAGTTTGGGTGACCATTAAAACCACATGAAATATGTGTCTTATTTCTTAATACTAAGTTCAAGAGAAATATTTTATTCACAATTAAAATTGTCAGTGGGAGGTCATGAACATGTGTAGAATGCTGGAAAGTGAAATAAAAATCTTTTTCTTCATAGTAAGCATCTGGGTAAGTACAAAGGGAGAAGAGGTGATTCTTACTCTTGGCAAAATTATCCTGTGCCATCTCACTCTGGGGCAAATGCCTGGGTGTTTGGTTACAGAACAACTATAAGCTTTGGGTGTTTCTAGTCTGCCTTTCCTGTACTTTCTGAGAAATGTGTGCTTTGTTTTGGAAGGCACTCAAGGTATCTTCAAATGAAGATGTTGGTGCTTCAAAAGTTGGACTTGTCTAATGAATGGAAATTGTAAGAAACACTGTTTAAGACAATACGATTCTTGCAATTAACCTTAGTAGTAAGCTTGGCATGATTATAATGGTAGAGGTAAAAGAGTTGCTAGTGAGTCCCCCAATATTGTACTGAGCACATCTGTACAACACAAAAGAACAATAACTAAAGGCCCACTCCCTTCCCCAGAAGGTTAGACCATTCAGAGTGCTGAGTGAATGCCTGAGGGGGCCTCATAGGCACCGCATGTTATAATTAGATCTAGAGAGAACAAATGAGTGAATCATGACTTCAGTTGCACAACAGTCCCCCTTGGAATGGCAAGTGAAATTAGAATGAAACCCAGAGAGGCTGGAAAAATCACATCTAGACACAGGTCTATTCAAATACAAGGTGCTGCATGGTTGCCATGAAAGAAATTAAGGTTAACTGTAATCAGCAAGTAATAAAACACCATTTGTCACATGTGACCTTAAAGGGATGAGACGCCCTTCACTGAGATTGGACCTCCCATAGGAGTTCGGGAAAAAATGCCAGGACATTCTTTCAAGGCTGGAGAGAGGAAACACGTGTTCCAAATTCAAAAATAAGAGCAGGAAAAAAGAGTGGAATAGAAGGCGCTTTATCAAATGCACACATACTATCTCCAAGGACCCCAGTGGAGCGTAACTATGACAGCTGC